GAGGGGGGGGGGTGCGCAGTACATCTAATGGAGATTAGTCCATTCTCAATATTCTCTCAAGTTCTAAGACGTCAAAGAGAAAGCTCCCGTTTGGTGCCGACAGGTCTCTAACACCTAATGCCTGGCAACCCCCTTTTGAACAATGGCATTGAACTTGGGGCTCCAAGCCCCAGACAGAGAAACTGTCTAGAACTTACTAATACTGTATTTGGTTTCCCCTGAATTTTTTCTGACCTCTGACTTCCCACTTATACCAGTGGCAATGACAGTGAGTTGTTATTTAAAATAAATTTGTCCTTTGGGAGGCTGAGGTGAGTGGATTGCCTGAGCCCACGGGTTTGAGACCCGCCTGGGGAACTTGGCGAGACCTCATCTCTACAATATATCAAAAAACCAGCCGGGCGTGGTAGCGCGCCTGTAGTTCCAGCTACTCGGAAGGCTGAGGTGGAAGGATTGCCGGAGCCCAGCAGGTCGAGGCTGCGGTGGCCGGGAGCGGCCACTGCACTCCAGTCTGGGCAACAGAGTGAGACTCCAACTCAAAAAAATAAATAAATAAAATAAATTTGTTTCAAAAAGTGAGGAGAAAGCCAGGCGCGGTGGCTCATGTCTATATCCCAGCACTTTGGGAGGCAGAAGCAAGAGGATTGCCTGAGTCCAAAGGTTCGAGATCAGCATGGGCAGCTTGGCAAAACCTCGTTTCTATAGTAAATCAAAAAATTAGCTGGGCATGGTAGCGTGCGCCTGTAGTTCCAGTTACTTGGAAGGCTGAGGTGGAAGGATCTCCTGAACACAGTGGGCCAAGGCTGTGGTGGCTGGGTGCCACTGCACTCCAGGCTGGGTGACAATGAGAGTCTAACTAACAATTTTTTTAAAATTAAAAAAAATGTTTTAAGTGAGATTTGAGAAAAAAAATATTTCTAGTAGTCCAGGTGGTGCTGGCTGTGAGAACCAACTGTGGAGGTGGCATTCAAGCGACCCAAGGGCGGGAACCCTAAGCCTTGACAAAGAGCCCAGTGAGTCCTTGCTCCTTCTAAGCACTCCAGACCAGTCCAGGGCTGCCCTGGGAATCCCACAGTTGTAAGCTGCCCAGCTCCATGGCTTCCCCTAGGGTTGTGCAGTGTACCACCTGCACCACAGTCGGGGCCTGGCGCCTGCATCCCCGGCCTGACGCTTCTGGACACTCATAACTCCTCATTCCCTGCCTCTGGACTCTGCTCCCCATCGTCTGACAGCTTATTGTGCACCAGCTTCATGTTCACCTACATCGGAGTTCGATGTCTGGAGAAACTGAGGCCCAGACGGGGTCACCAGCAGGTGAAGAGGCAGCACCAGTCTCATGATCACTGTCCCCGTCCTCCCCACCACACCAAGTCTGCCACTCCTGTGTCCTGCTGACGGTCACACTCCATTTCTTTCACCCTGAGGCAATTTTCGAACTTTGCTCCAAATGAACAAAGCACTCCAGGTGACTCTGTCACCCTCAGAGCTTTGTCCTGTCATTTCCTTATGGGCCTTATCTGAGCACCAGTGCCTCCCGGCCGTGGGAAAGGACAGGTTCACCAGGAACAGCAAAGTGCTCTGGAGACACCCAGGCAGGAGAGTCTTAAGCTCAGGGGAGGCTCCAGCTGGAAGGAGCACTACCTGACAAGGGAGGTGGGCCAGCTTCCTAGTGCTGGGAGCCCGCGGGCACCAGCCCACCCCCATGAGGCAGTCACACAGGTGGCCATAGGGCAGTCACACAGGTGCCAGCGGCACGGATGCCCGAGCCCACCTGCCAGACGCGTGGTCCAGTCCAGCCACTTCCCCGTGACCTGGGGAAGCAGCTTCACCACTCTGTGCCTCAGTTTCCCATCAGCTAAGCGCCCCCAGGGACTGCACAGAGGACTGCAGGAGCCTGTGTTTGTGCTAGCCATGTGTAAGCACCATATAGGTGATTATTAAATAAACTGGGGTAACAGGACAAATTATGTATAGAGACAAGACTTGTGAAGGTATCAGTCACATCCCAGGTCCACACAGGACACACCAGGTGCTGTGCCCAGGGCTTTGGACCGACCCACACATTCATTAATTCATTCATTTATATATTTGAGTCAGGGACTCACTCTGTGGCCTAGGATAGAATGCAGTGGCACCATCACGGCTCACCACAGCCTCAACCTTCTGGGCTCAGGTGATCCTTCCTCTTTAGCCTCCCAAGTAGCTGGGACTACAGGCATGAGCCACCATACCCAGCTAATTTTTGGATATTTTTGTAGAGACCTGGTCTCACTTGTTGCCCAGGCTGGTCTCAAGCTCCGGGGCTCAAGCAATCCTGCCTCTGCCTACCAGAGTGCTAGGATTACAGGCGTGAGCCACTGCCCCCAATCCTATCAGCACATTTACCCTTGTAAGATAGATTGTAAATGACCATATCCATTTTCCAGGGAAGGAAACTGAGGCGTGAACAAGGTATACCAGCCACTCGCTTGACGGTGCAACTGCCTCGTGAAATGACCCAGACTCACTCCCACCCAGCAGGCGGGCTCCAAGTCCGCATTTCAGGCGCCAAGCCACAATGTGAAGCTTCAAGCATCATCGTGTTACCCTAATCACTGCAGATACATGCAGCTGAGAACGCACACTGGCAGCCACAGGTGTGTTAGGACTGGCCGCATAGTAGGGTGCTGTGAAGATGGTTTTGCTGCCAGTATCTTACAGGGAAGCTTACAATAAATAGATATCAAGTCCAGACTCCTAGAAAAATCAGAAAGTCGGGCCTAGCTAGGTCTGCAAGTCCACACAACACCACGTGCCACTGAGACTCTACACTTTGCCACAGTCTCTCCCATTCCCTATTGCCTTTCACCTCATCTCTGCAAAGTTAAAAACCAGAGACCCCAACATCAACTCACTTACATAGAGGTGGGGGTGGGAACTGAACAGAGGTACCAAAAGCCCACAACTTCTAGAACATTTAGGATTTCCTCTGCATAAGGAGGTATCTGTGAGTCACTTCACCTGCTGTGCGCTGGGTCAGCACGGGGCTAGTTCAAGGGCACGCCATCCTCAGCTGTGTCTTCACACCACTGAGATGGTCACAGCCCTGTGCCCAGCCATGCAGCTGTCCCTGAAAGCATCGGTCAGCTGACCCTCAGCCCACAGTTCAGGATCTAGCCGGACCAGAGGCTCAAAGCCACGACCCAGGGTCTCTGGAAACTGGGTTCCTGAGAGCATGGCAGCTGCCCGGCACAGGGAGGCATGAGAACAGGCTCGAAGCCAGACACTGTGTGACGTGGGCAAGCCCCTGGACCTGTCAGCCTCAGTTTCCTCACCTGCCCCGGCTCACAGGGCCGCTGTGAACAGGAGCAGAGGCATCTTCATAGTTGCTTGTCTGGAACTTGCCTCCACCATCCGACAAAACTGCCCTGCAACATCCTCGACCAACATGTTTCTCCGCACGGCCCCGTTCCCTCCTCTGACCACAGGTCTCGGGGCCCCAACCCTTCTGTGCTGCGGCACATCTGATGTGCCCGGCTGCTTGCGGCCCACAGAACCGGCAGATGCTGGGAAGATGCCCTGGCATCCCTGTTCAGAATACGCGGCACTGCACCCTGACATCAGCTCCAGGGGTAGCGGCAGAGGGTGGGCGGAGTCCTCAACTGCCCAGACTACACACACAGGCCCCGCTGTCCGCCGTCGGCCAAAGCGTGGACAGGAAGTGGGGTGGAGCCCGCTCTGCCGCACTCAAGCTGTGTGACCCCGGAACGGGCATCGCTGTACCCGCCTAGAGGTGGTGGAAGTGGAGGCTGGGATGTGCTGAGAGGGCAGCGCCGGGCCTGGAGCGGGCCCGCCGCGCTGTTGCCTACGGTTGCGCCCCACTGAGCCCTCTGGATCTACCTGCCGGTCGGGTCCAAGGAACAGCCCAAAGTGGGGCCACTCGCCTGCTTCCAAACACACGGTGAGGAGGAGGAAACGGGCCCTCAACCCCACACCAGGCCCCACCGGTCCACACACCCTCATTCTGACTCTGTCTTCAACAGAGCCCAGAGCAGCCCGTACCTGAATGGTGCGTGTCGTAGGCTGTGTACCCCGTCACCAGCGACAAGCCTGTGGGAGGACCGGAAAAGCAAATCAGCCCCAGTCAGCTGGGTGCGTGGGGACCCACCCATGGCCCCTCTCTGAGCATCCCTGAAGGCACTGCTCCCGGCATGTGTCGGGGCTGCAGGAGCCACTCACTTCCACCCAATCGGGTGCTTTTCCCATCGGAGCCGTGACCCATTGTTTCACAAAAGCAGAAAGTCAGAGCGGCAGGCGGGGAGACTTCGTCTATACTGCAGGATTTCTGACCATGTGTCAGTGTGACCCTGGGAGGCTACATTTCCTTCCCACCCCAAGCACCTGTCCCCGAAATATCACCGGACCACGTGCCCAGCCGCCAGGGCTCATCGGTGGGGTCCGTGCACATTTCCCAAAGGCGTCCCTGTCACACAGAGAGGGGCCTTTCCCAGGGCTCCTAGCTCACCCTGCCACCCACAGCCCCGCAGTCTTTGAGGTCCGCAGGGTCAGCTGCCGCCTTTCACCTCCCACAGGGAACCTGGGGTTGGAGGGAGGTTGGGGGAGGATCCTAACTCGCCCATGGGCTGCGGGCAACTGCACCCAGGAGGGGTCACTTCAAGCAGCTGGGGAGTCCAGGTGAGTTCATCCGAAGCTAGTAGAAGGCTGAATGACCCGTGTCACCCTCGTGACTGAGGGACAGACTCTGGTTTCTTCATTTTACGGATGAGTAAACTGAAACTCAAACAAGGAACGCACCTTCCCAACGTGAGATTTAAATCCAGTGTTCTGATCCATCTCAAAATTCCTGGTCCCAGCTTTCCTCCCTCCAGATGCCCTGGGCTAGCTTTGGCTCTGAGAGGTCCCTAATGCCGTAACAGACTGGAGGACCAAAGGTGGTGCCCAAGGAGTGGGGCCAGCTTGGTCAAGAGCTGCATCTTCCCTGTCCCGGAGAAGCTCACCAGGCCCCCTCCAGGAGTGTGGACAGAGTGTGGACATCACCCATGGGACGAGCAGCTCACATCCCCCTGGGAAGCAGTGGAGGCAGGGCCCAGAGCACAGCTGGGCACTGCCCTCATCGTAAGCAGCCCAGGCCACGCTCTCTCAGGGCTCAGTTTAGCTTCAGCAGACGTGGGTCATAGTGACGCCAACTACCCTACCTCTACCCCGCCCCAGCTGGACAAGGCTGGCAGCGGACGTCATAGCCTTCAGACCTCACCTGGTGATGACCCCGCACCACCCTCACCTGCGCTGGGCTGCTGTGCCCACCAGTCTGGAAGGAGCTGACTCCGACAGGCCTCAGGCGGGGAGGGGCTCCTTTTGATCCCCATGTAATCATCCACAGGAGGCTGCAGGGTCAGGGCGAGAGAGGACAGTCAGCCATAGAGCCCCATGCGGGCTCCAGTGTTTTTGAAAATGAACAGCCTATGTGTAGCTAGCACCACAGTCACCTTCATTTCATGGGACCGAAGTCAGACTCCACTTGAGACTTCAAAGACCCCAGCCCACAACTACGCCAGGCTTCATGCTTGAGCCACGTAGCTGAACTCCTGGGCTCTTAGGAGGCCACCAGTGAGACTCCCAACCTCTTCCACAAAGTCGCTGTTGCAAACTGCATGTCCCATATTTTTCGCCTCTCCGATGCCCTGCAGACACGGGCAAGCTCTGAGACACCCACAAACGGTGACTCTGAGCAAAGCCTACCACGTTTTCCCGACTCTCAGTCAGGAGTGAGATGTTCAGTCTCTGACCCTTTTCCCTGCAGAGGTTGATTAATCCAAATGTGGCATGTTTCCAAGTCTGCTTTTCTTGTGACCCCGGTATGGCAATCTGATGATCTGACTCTCATGGCTGAGTCAGCAGAAAAGACCCTGCACGGAAACAGGACACTGGTGTGGGACACAAGGCTAGGAGACCACGCAGTCCGCTGCCAAAGACCACCCAGAAACTTGGCAGCTGCCCCGGCAGAAGAGACAGCAGCTTGGAGTGGGCTCTGTTCCGTCACTCCCTGACACTCAAGCTATCCCTAAGGCTCCCATGATCGCCATGTTACCATGAAGAATTGTTCCGGCCAGGCACAGTGGCTCAAGCCTAGAATCCCAAGACTTTGAGAAGCCAAGGCAAGAGGACTGCCTGAGCCCAGAGGTTTGAGACCAGCCTGGGAAACTTGGTGAGATCTCGACTCTACAATATATCAAAAAATTAGCCGGGCATGGTAGTGTGTGCCTGTAGTTCCAGCTCCTTGGAAGGCTGAGGCAGAAGGATTGCCAGAGCCCAGCAGGTCAAGGCTGTGGTGGCTGTGAGCGTATCACTACACTCCTCCAGTCTGGGTGACAGAGTAAGACGCTGATTCAAAAAAAAAAAAAAAAAAAAAGAATGGTTCTAGCACTCATAACACCTTTTGCAAGGGCTGCTCGAGACTGTTTTAGTTATGCAAATGTCCCACCTTGTGATATCCATAAAAAACACATCCAGGAGGCTAAACTCTGGGTAGCCAGATAGCTAAAATGGGTATGCAAAAAACCATATGTTTTTGTTGAAAGAGATCCCATGAGGCCCTTACTCCAAGCCTATGAACTCTGAGTTTGTGTACAATTCTAACAAGGCTGGCTGTGTGGTTTTCCAACTCACTTAGGAATAAAACCTGCATGTTAAAAAGTAAACAATACAGCCAGGCTCGGTGGCTCAGCCTGTCATCCCGCACCTTTGGGAAGCTGAGGTGAGCGGATTGCCTGAGCCCGCGGGTTCGAGACCCGCCTGGGCAGCGAGACCTCATCTCTACAATAAATCAAAAAATCAGCCGGGCGTGGTAGCACATGCCTGTAATTCCGGATACTGGGAAGGCTGAGGCGGAAGGATCACCGGAGCCCAGCAGGTCGAGGCTGCGGTGGCCGGGAGCGGCCACTGCACTCCAGACTGGGTGACAGAGTGAGATTCCAACTCAAAAAAAAAAAAAAGTAAACAATACAACAACCACGAGAGCTGGCAGTTATCTACACCATGAAGACAGTGAGGGAAGTTTATGTTTTGTCCACTCAAGCCTACCGGACAAGGCAAGGGGATTCGTGACACATTTTAAGACTGCCACCCAAAGAGGTTTAACACATGGAAAGTTCAGAGCTTGAAGCGACTTCGCTGGCCCAGGGTGGTGGCTCAGGCCCCACCCGAGGGACCAGAAGGGATCTGATGTGAGGGGCTGACCCATACCCAGAGGCCAGTGGGGAAGGAGGCCCAACCCGTCCTCACACAGGTGGAGGCGCTGGTCACCTTGGCAGGGCAAGGACACTGCTGCTCCCTGCCCGAAGACACGGGGCTCTCGCTGGCAGGGCCGGACCCCAAAGTGCTGCCTCTGCTTACCTCCTTGACCAGCTCGTCGACCTCAGAGCGCCCACATTCCATATCTATGACTTCGTTCATGCAGCCAGGAGTCACCACGCCTAGTTTGCCTACGGAAAAGCAGACAGACCCCGTGATGCGTGGCACTAAGGCATGGCAACATCAAAAAGGCCACAGACCACCCTTTGCACATGCTGAGTTTAAGGAGACGGACATTAATGAGTGTCCCCCTGGGAAAGGCATGGACCTTGCCTCCCGAGCTCAGTCATCGGATCAGCAAAGTCAAAAGAGAGAAGCTGGCAGTGGCGTGGCTGTTTCACAGAAGGATAAAGATAGCACTGGGTCTGCTCCTTCTGTTTACTGAGACCCCAAAATGACTCTATCAGACAGACTTCACAGCGGATGCTGACTAACACACAAAGGTCACATTCACAAGCTGCAGCATTTGAAGATGCTCAAAGCTCCCCTGGCAGCATGTGTTGGCAGGCTGGAGTCTTTTTTTTAAAGCCAGTTGGCAGGAAGTCTGTTTGGGGCCTTTCCGAGCATGCCTTGGTGCATCTGAGCACACAACTACATGCACACACACCACGGCAGAGAGACACACGGTGCCCGGCCCGTGCCCACCTCCATCACGAGCTGCCTGGAGGCGAACAGTGTTGCCACCACGGGCATTCCAGGCCGGCCTGGTCTCACCATCTCACGCCCCTTCCCTGGTCAGCAAGTCACCTTCCTAAGCTTCTCAATGGGAGATGCGTCAAAACTGAGATACACTTGTGGGGGACTCCTTGGTCCCAGCAAGCTGGAAGGTTTATCCATTGTTTCTTCCTAGTTGAATTCTGATTCCAGTCCAACAGATTCAAGCATCCACGTAAGAGCTGCTGATGGGGAAGTAGGGAGCAGGTGGGTGCCCCTGGGGAGGGCTGCTTGGGCACTATGCAAATGTGACGTGGCTTTGCCCCCTGAGGACACCCTGCTTCTTGTCTAACATTCCGCCTACAGGTGATGCTGGCTGCATCCCAGCTATAAACAAGTCAGGTTCACCTGCCGGTTCAAGCTTGACTGGTCCTGGGGGAGGGAGATCAACAGAAATGTTTCTATTTCTTCAAATCACAATTTACTTTTTGGTGACAAAAAAGCATCCAAAACTGGGAAATGTGACAGAAAGATGACGATGGCTTGCCCCTCCAGAGCTGCTGTGGATCACAGTAGTACCGGCTGCCCCGCCCCACTGAACAAGGCTGACAGGGTGAATGCCACAGCGAAAGGTAGGTGAGCTCTGTATCAACTCTTAATAAAAACAGCCACCGGGCACAATGGCTCATGCCTGTCATCCCAGCACTCTGGGAGGACAAGACGAGAGGACTGCCTGAGGGGTTCGAGACCAGCCTGGGCAACCTGGCGAGACCTCGTCTCTACAATAAATCAAAAAACTAGCCGGGCATGGTGGCACATGCCTGTAGTTCCAAGTACTTGGAAGGCTGAGGCAGAAGGATCACCTGAGCCCGGCAGGTCAAGGTTGCGGTGGCCGTGAGTGTGCCAGTGAACTCCAGCCTGGGCAACAGTGAGACTCTGACTCAAAATAAATAATAATAATAATAATAATAACAGCCATCATGGGAGCCTTAGGGGTATCTTGGCCGTCAGGGAGTGACGCTGATGAAGCAGTGCTATGTGGAGCTACCCCCAAAGATCATCTGATTCTCCAGGGAAGGGCAGCCCACTTCCTTACTCGCTATCATCAACTAGGGTTTAGGCTCCGTTGAGTTGGGGGCTGACCTGCAGGTGATGAAGCTACCCACGCCCCAAACAACAGCTGCGCGGTCCAGTCGGACGGTCGCCGGCCTGGCTCCACGCTGTCTCTCACTGACCAACCACACCAGTGTCCCATTCTCTGCCCGACAATCCTCATCATCATCCTGGTTCCCTCATCAATGAGTTCAGAGGTTCGCCATACATTTTAACTTCTTAAATAGTTTCATATCAACATTCTCAAAAGTGCAAAGCTGGAATTTCTGCACAGGCCCAAGAAGTTTCCAGGCCGTCTGTTTTTTGAAGGCATTACTGAACGATTCTTAAGCATCTAAGGAGAAAATCAGGATGTGCCAGTGTTCTAATTGCTACAGTGAATGGCTACGAAGATCACTGTTAAGAGAACGTCTCGAGACAGTGCTGTGATGAGATTTTCTCTGGAGTCAGCCATGATTCATGGCAGCTGCACGGCACAGCTTCAGGGAGGATTCTGAGGCCAGAACCGAGCTTGGGACATCTTGATTGATTACTGATGTCTTGCCAGAGCATGGGTATAAGGAAGGGGGCATGGGGCGGGTCTCTGCTCACCCTGCTTCGGTCCCATCACAAATGCTTTCTTGGGATTTGAGAGCCAGAGGCGGGGGTCAACAGACACTTCTCTACTCCTTCGAATCACAATTTACTTTTTGATGACGAGTAAGTATCCCAAACTGGGAAATGCGACAGAAAGATGAAAACGGCCTGCCCCTCCAGAGCCTCCCCAGAGTGCTCTGTGGAAATGCCCCGAGGTCATCTGATTCTCAAGGGAAGGGCAGCTCGCTTCCTAACTAGTTATCATCAACTAGGGTTCAGGCTCCCTGGAGTTGGGGCTGACCTGCAGATGAGAAAGCCACCAACGGCCCCAAACAACGGCTGCATTGTCCAGTCAGACAGTCGATGAGAACCGGAAGAGCCCTCAGGCATGATCCCAGCCCAGAGTTCCCAAACAAGCATCAGGATCTAACACCATGGGCGCCTTCTGCAACTCTGTTTGAGAACTTGACCCTGACTCTTAGCCTATCCCTCCCCATCTACCGTACCATCTCCTAGCCTCCTCTGCCAGCTGCTGGAAGAAGAACAGGCTTCCTCGTCAGAAACTGTTGCAGGGTCCTTGTTCCTGTCCAGGGGCATTACTGAGCCCAAGGGCTCTCAAACTTAACGCATATACTAAAGTCCAGGATCTGGCAGTAAGTGAGCACTGTTACTGGGCTGCGGCCAACCTCCTCCCCCTCCCCTCATCCCCACGCCACGCCCTCCACCACTGCACCACAGGGACAGCAGCTGGTGTATGCGGTCAGCAGAAGGAGATCCCAGCATCTGCTTGCACAAAGGAGAGAACTGTCTCGTTCAACTATAACCACGTGCCCCAGACCCTGTGTCTGCCCCAGACCCACGCTCCCTGCAGCAAGGACTGCAGACCAGGGCCACTCTTGGGAGGTTTGGTGCCCACCAGGGATATTTACATTTTTGCTCTTCCTCGGGGACGATTCGGTACACTTTGTATGGCTCGGAAATGTCCAGCTGGGACCGGTCTGTCACTTCCTCAAAATCAGGGCTCTTGTTCAAAGCACAGCGTAACCTCGTCTTCCAAGTGGCTGGTTCAGCTTTGTCCCCTTCTTTAAACTTCCCTTTAAAAACTGCCCAGGCCTGAAGAATGAAACAGAAGCACAGTAAATACAAAGCCGGACCCAATCACAAATGTCCATCACTGGGTTGAGAACCCAGCCATCCTTGCCCTCCCATGAGTCTTCGTGGGCCATCAGCTCTGGTTCAGTTTCAGGACTCCAAGAAACACCCATCTGGCCCTGCTCTCTGCCAGATGTGAAAAGACCCAGGCTGGGGAAGGGACCCCACCAAGTTCACCCAGCTGAGCCAGAATTCGAACCCAGGCCCCAGGATCCTCCCGGGCACATCCCTAGCATGTGCCTTTTAGCAAAGTCCTTCCCTGGACCACGGAGCCCAAAGACTCCTGAGGTTAAGCAGCACAAAGAGGAAGTTGCCCATGGTTTCACTAGAATGTTCAAAACAAAGAACAAGTTGTTGCTTTTTCAAATCAACCTCTGAAATTTAGCATGAAAAGGGAACATTTGCAAAAAGCCTGAATGTGGTCATCCATCCCTTGCTACTTTTAATAGATACTTTGTTTTGCATTTATTCTCAACTTTTCTCTACAAGGTGCTATTTAAAAAGCAATGAAATGTTTTCCATTTATTGTCTTTTTTACAGCTCTGTTTTCTGACCTCTGCAAACCTTAGGATCCGAACTAGGACTACAAATTCAAAGCTGAGATCTTAAGATCAAAATGTAGAATGTGGCAGGCTTTAAAACACAAGACATGAGAAAGGGCATATTTTAAGATTTCAGAACTGGAACACGGACACACCTCCTTAGCCACCATCAGGTGAGAATTACCTTTGCTTTTACGCAAAACTAGTCAGGGTCCTCCAGCCTAAAATACTATGAGATCCATAGGGTATTTTCAATTCCTTCCAGGAAAATGCATTTCCAAGAGGCAAGTTGTTTTCCCAAAGTGGCCCAGCCCAGGACTCAATGCCAGCTGTGCCCACTTCCAACCCAACGGACTTCCTGCCACAGCAAGGGCTCTCAAGCTTAATGCATATACTAATCTCCCAGGAGGCTTGTCAAGATGCAGATTCCTGGACCTTGCCCCTCAAGATCCTCACTGGGCCGGGCTCGGTGGCTCACCCTGTAATCCCGCGCTTTGGGAGGCTGAGGTGAGTGGATTGCCTGAGCCTGCGGGTTCAAGACCCGCCTGGGCAAGTTGGCGAGACTTCATCCCTACAATAAATCAAAAAATTAGCTGGGTGTGGTAGCCCACGCCTGTAGTTCCAGCTACTTGGAAGACTGAGGTGGAAGGATCACCGGAGCCCAGCAGGTTGAGGCCCGGCCACCGCACTCCAGTCTGGGCGACAGAGCAAGACTCCGACTCAAAAAAAAAAAAAAAAAGATCCTCACTGGGGAGGTGGTGCAGGGAACCTGTGTCTTTAGCCAGCATCCAGGGCACCTGATTTAGTTGGCCAGGAGAACACACTTCCAGAAACTCCGTAATGACCCCATGAGACACAGCTCCTTGAAAGTCTCCCTGGCGTTTTTTCCCTATCAAACAGGACAAGGTTTATAGTTCAAGGTCAGTGCTTTCTACTCTGTTGGTGCAAAATGTTGCAACTATACCAGAGATAAAGAAACTGGAAGAACATTCCTATCACTGAGCATGAGCCAGAGCCTCCCTTTTCCAACATAGACGTAAAACTGCCCTCTAGAAATATTTTTTAAAGTAAACAGTCTTGGCCGGGCTCGGTGGCTCAGCCTGTAATCCCGCGCTTTGGGAGGCTGAGATGAGTGGATTGCCTGAGCCCGCGGGTTCGAGACCCGCCTGGCCAACTTGGCAAGACCTCATCTCTACAATAAAAATCAAAAAATTAGCCGGGTGTGGTAGCGCACACCTGTAGTTCCAGCTACTTGGGAGGCCGAGGCGGAAGGATCGCCGGACCCCAGCAGGTCAAGGCTGCGGTGACCGGGAGCGGCCATTGCACTCCAGTCTGGGTGACAGAGTGAGACTCCAACTCAAAAAAAAGTAAACAGTCTTCAACTCTTTTCTTTATTAACTGCATCGCTGACCATGCATTGGTTTGGGTGTTGTTGTTATTGAGTTTTAAAATATATATAAGAGCAAACTATGTACTAAATGAACAGCAATTTCAGACCAGGTATGGTGGTCTGTAATTCCAGCACTTTGGGAGGCCGAGGCGAGAGGAGTGTCTAAGCCCAGGGGTTCAAGACCAGCCTAGGCAACTTGGTGAGACCTTGTCTCTGCAATAAATCAAAACATTAGTCAGGTGTGGTAGCATGTACCTGTAGTCCCAGCCACTCAGGAGGCTGAGGCAGAAGGATCACCTGAACCCAGCAGGTTAAGGCTGTGGTAGCTGTGAGTGTGCCCCTGCACTCCAGCCTGGGTGACAGTGCGACACTGACTCAAAAAAAAAAAAAATGAACAATAATTTCAATTTGTATTTCTTTAAGTCAGGGCTTCTCCACCTTGCACAACTGACATGTCAGATGGGATGACCTTTGCAGCAGGGGCCATCCTGTGCACAGTGGGATGTCTGGCAGTATCCCTGGCCTCAACCCACAAGATGCCAGGAGCATCACCATTTGAGAACCACTAACTAACTTGTGTTCCAAGTGGACCTTGAGATGCATGGATTTCAAGGCATGGCAGAGGCAATGTCACGGCCAGCTGGTACACATCCGGAACGCCAGCACTCCCAGGTGAAGCCACATTCGTTCATTCAAAGCTCACACTCACCTGGGAGCAGGGCCAGGCCACACCACCCACCAAAACAGCTGGGAAGCGGCCAGGGCTGTCAGCAGTTCCCTGGCCATAGCCTGCCCTGTGTCTGGGATGCAGCAGGTATTGGGGCCTCTCCAGGCCTCTGGCCAGCTCTAAAGGGCCAACTTAGGACAGGTACAGTGGTTGATGCCTGTAATCCCAGCACCTTGGAAGGTCAAATCGTTTGAGGCCAGGAGTTTAAGACCAGCCTGGGCAACATAGTGGGATCTCATCTCCACAAAAATTTTTTTTAAAAATTAGCCAAGTGTGGTGGCACATGCCCGTAATCCTAGCTACTCAGGAGGCTGAGGTGGGAGGATCACCGGAGCTGAATAGGTCGAGGCTGTAGTGAGCCGTGATCGTGCCACTGCACTCCAGCCTGGGCAACAGAGTGAGGCCCCAACTCAAATAAATAAATAAATAATAAAAAGCCAACTTAGCTGGATGATCCCTCAAGATCCTTCTCCATCTAGAGCTAAAAGTACACAGAAGACAGTGAATTGGAGGCACACCAACGATGGCCACCATGGCCCAATCAGCCTCCTCTGAATCTCCTCCGGACACACAGCTTGGGCAGCCAGCGTCACTCTCGGAGCAGGAAGCCTTCCTCATTTAACATCTGTGTTGCGTTTTTAAAATTAAATGCTGGTTTTTTCCCCCTTCCAGACCTGCTGAATTTTGAAATACCTGTGCTCTAAGTAAGCTTTAACTCACTCAGGCCTATCACAATACCTGTCGGTGAGCAGCCAATAAACAATAATCTCACTTAACTGGATAAGCCCCATCTCTATGAAAAAGAGAAAAATACTTTTAAAAAATAAATAAATATGAGTGGATTTCAGGGTCCCATCAGTGGACTCAGGATTGGATCAAAGTGAGCCAAAGGTATTTTTCACCCCCCCCCCCATTCAGGGTCTGCACCACCAAGCTGGCCTCAGGAGGAAGCCTGCAGACAAGGACCGAGGGTCCGGTTTAAGCAGCCTCTCTGATGACCCACCTATCAACACAGGGAAACAAAGCTCTACTTTTTCTTTTTTTTTTTTTTTTTTTTCATTAATCAGTAGTTTTTATTATGGTTTTGTGGGGTACAGTTAAGGGTAGGTGTACAATGACGTTTCATTCAGGCACCCTGTAGATAAGAAGTGTTTTCCCATCCCCCGACAGATATTTGCTACTGTTAATCCCATCCCCCTCCCCCCCATAGTTTCCCAGTACCATCCGTCATTTTCTCATAGTATTGCATTGGATGTTCAAGGTCCATTATATGAGTGAGAACATGTGATATTCGGATTTTTGTTTTTGTGAGAGGTCACTCAGTATTATAGACTCTAGTTCCATCCTTAACTCCTAGATTTTTGAAAGGTTTTCTTTGAAAGCTAGAAAGAAACAGATCTCTGCTTAACCAGAAAACCCCGAAGGAGGCCCTATCTAACCAGAATCTCATTGTTGGCTTCTTCAGGGTCAAAGCGACATCCCAGAGATGGACCTCCCAGAACAGACGGGAGCAGGCACAGCTCAGGAAGCCCGCGTCGGGCTCTTGCTGATGCAGTGTCACGCTCCCGCCCGCCTCTCCCTCCGACCTCCCTCCCTGCTGAGATTGTAGACTCATTTCAGATTGCCACATTGAGCGACTACGTAACCAACGGAAACGTCGGACGCTGTTGAAACGGCCATGAAGAGCATTGCATAAGACGTATATAAATCTGGGGCTTTATGGCATGACCCCCAGAGCGCAAGCTGAGCAGGGGACAGGGTTGGGGAGAAGCCTGCGTCCCATCCGCAAGCCACACGCCTGGGCTGCACACCCCTGCCGGCCTCTTGAAGACGTCTGACTGGTGTTCAGCCTGCAACCGTGCCCCCAGCACCCAACGCTCGGGTTAAACCTGCTGATCCCGGCTGTGGTCAGTTCACAGCAGGGTTCTCGAGGGGGAGGGGGAGGTGCATCTGGCCATGTCCGAGACATTTTTGTTGTCACGCTAAGGGAAGGGCTGCTGCTGGCACCTAGTGGGTAGAGGCCAGGGGTGCCACTAAAATCCTACAAGGCACAGGGCACTCCCCTAAAAACAATCATTGGCCTCCACAACAGCAGTGCCATGGCTGAGGAGCCCTGGCTTCTAGGCTCATCTGGGATCCAAAATTCACAACTGACGGGGAGGGACTTGGGCACTGTGTAAATTGGCGGTAGCGTCCCCAAGAGCAGTTCACCATGACACCAAAGGCAAAAAGGCTCCTCAGGTATACAAGAGAGAAATGCATCACAACTGAGGGCGAAGAAGAAGGTCCCGGCCTGGCAAAACCCAGTGGCGCCCGGTCTTCTGCCTGGGGTTCTGGGTCTGAAAGCATCTGGAGGACACGTGGGCACCCCAGGACCCCTCCAAGGTGGGTGCAAAGCATTCCCATGTGCCCATTTTTCCTGGCATGGGCATTAACGGGCAGCAGATTCTCAAGAGACCTGCGACCCGAATTACAGATTTCAGGGAGTTACTAAAATGCAAAGCGCCTCTGCAAACATCAGTTGGGTAGCCTCCAGGGGCTGGAACACATCTTAAGCCAATCTTGACCTGCTCGCGTTCACGCTCTGGGATCAAAGTGTGATCTTGCGTCCTTTTTGTTCTCTGGTGTGAGGAGGCAGTCATCTGTGACTGGACATCCAGCATGGCCACGGGGTCCTGCAGCCTCAGTATCCCCCTTGTTCACTGTCTCGGGTCTCATTCTGATCCTCTGCGACTCAGCCCAACCCCTACCCATCTCTCAAACTCACTCGCCCCTCCCCACCCCAGCCCCCAAATGCCCACAGAATAAGCACACATGGCAGTGGCTGGCAACCTGGGCTGAGTCAGATCATGCGGTGCACATGTTTGCAAACATGGAAGTCTGCGCTGAGCTCGACCCAGGGCTCCAAATCTCCCAGGGTTGAAACTGGACATCTGGAGCCTTAGAGATGCCCACAGGGAACTCAGTGACACAGCTGGTCTGCAGAGCTATGCTGCCCCAGCTCCTGGTTCCTTTACCTGAATTGAGCTATGACGGCAAGAATTCTGTTTACCAGCAGCCCTGGGGTCAGAACCATGGGCTCAGGGTTGGGCCACCTGCGTCTGAACGCTGGCGCCATCGTGCAAGAAGGAGAGACATCGGACACACCACTTCTCTGTGCGCCTCCAGAGAACGAGGATGAGAGCAGCCTCCCCAGAGAGGGCTGCGTGAGAGAAAAGGAAAGTAACCATGGGGCCAGGCACGGTCCAGAACGAGCCCTCGGTCCATCATCCTGCCATGGTGCAGAGGGCAGGACTGAAGCACGTGTCTCTTTGCGCCTGGGATACTTGTCACTCTCAAGGGAGGGAAGACCATTTCAGACATCTGCTGCAGGGTCAGGACCCCTACACAACCCGCCCCAGAGGGAACAGCAGATGGCATCACCCTCTCCTGAGGGGCCTCCAATGCCAAACAGAAGAAACCTCCCCGGTATACCGCGACACCTCTGACGGCAGCTTGGGGAATCTTAGTGGGAGGGTCCCCAAGAAGTCTCTTCTCCCCCTTGACCAGTTAGTCTCATGAAAAGAAAAACAGCAGAGCAGGTAAGCAACACAAGTGCCAGCAATACAGCCAATCTCAACAGTGACTGCATAGTGTAACATGTAAAAGCAGCTTGTGCACACTTTTTTTTTGAGTCAGGATCTCACTGTGTTGCCCTGGTTAGAGTGCAATGGCATGGTTCCAGCTCACGGCAGTCTCAACCTCCCGGGTTCAGGTGATCCTTCCACCTCAGCCTCCTGAGTAGCTGGGACTACAGGCAAGTGCTCCCACGCCTGACTAAGTTTTTTATTTGGAGAGGTCTCACTATGTTGCTCAGGGTAGTCTGAATTTCTAGGCTCAAGCGATCCTGCCACCTTGGCCTCCCAAAGTGTTGAGGTGACAGGCGTGAGTCACCATGCCCAGCTAAGGTACATTTTTGAGAAATATTCTGTACTTGTCTTTTAAAATCCAGATTAATCGGAGAGACGTCACTCAACTCAACACCCCAGTCCACGAGGGAAAACAGAAACTGAACTCACGCTGGGAGGACCCGGGGTCTTTACCTTGAAGATGGAGGCGTCCACTTCTTGGTTATAATCTTGCTTTCCAGCATGTTTCCACGGGATCCGGAACAAGCTCTTCTCATCGTTCTCCCAGATCAGGCCTGGGTACATGTTACTGTCGATCTGTTCAATGAGCCACTGTCGAAGCCGACGCCCGCCATTCCGGTCGCACATCCTTGGAAAGACATAAACGCACTCTGTGACTCGCGGATGGCATCTCATTCTGCACAGCAGCCCAAGAATTGCTAACAGGAAACTCGGGGGTTCACAGCAAAGGTGCCGGCCTAGGGGACTCTGGGCCACTTGCCCTGAGAAGGCCTCGCTGGCCTCCGTGACCTCAAAGCCCTGAATGAAAACTGAAAGCTCTATGGGAAGCCCACAGCCACCGGCCGGTCCCTCTGGGCCCCTCCTCCGGATCTGCCTGTGCCCTTCCAGCTCTCATGCGGCGTTTCCTTCCAGGAAGACTCAGCCACGTTGAACAGTCCCTTTTTTTTTTTTAACAACATCAAGCCCCTTTACTGAGCAGCCCGTTATTCTAAGAACCAATTCGGGTACCAACTGCCCAGTCTGACCCATATTCCGTGACAGAAACAGCACCTGTGCCGCCTGATAAAGAGGAAGCTCTCCAAGCCACCTCTTCCAGGTGGTTCCTTCACAGCTGGTTTTGTGATAAGAGCATGAGTCTGGGCGGGGACGTAGCCAGGGTCCCATCGAGTCCTGCCGCCTCTTGGCTGGGGGGACCCTGGATCATCGCTTAACCTTGGAGAATCCGCTACCCTAACCCACCTGACACTCAAAGGTAACTGCAGGTACTTGACAGAATCTAGAGAAAATTCAAATGATGCCCAAGAAGCACCTGAGACAGGGCCTGAACGATGTCACACGACACTATTATTAACCAAAGCTTCCTCCTCGGGAACTCTTAGGACCAAACGAGATACTGGGACACGAGTAAAGGGATATACTGAGCTACAGGACAGAGCCAAGTTCAATGGGCTCGGTCTTCCAGAAGACGCCGCAATCTAGGGCTCTAGCCATCCAGGGCACCCACAGACATCCTTTGGAAGGACACTCCTGCCAGAGCAGATGGCTTTCCCAAAAGCACAGAGAAAGAGAGCGAGAACCATCAGGCCATATTGACTTCCAGTCAACATTTACAAGAACAGTACTGGAAATCCCCCAGACAGCTGGACAGACGCCCACCCAAAAAAAAAAAAAATAGCACTTCTATTCTCCTGAAAATGTGACCTCTTCGGGTAAACAAGTTTGAAGCAATCAGCGATGATAAGACATAATGTCCCCAAGAACATGATCACATTCAGAGCCGTGATGGTCCATAAGGCAAAATACCGGTCAGCAGCCTTGACAGGAATGTGCATTTTAGAAACTCCGGCTGCCATGCAGGAGCTGTGGGTGGGAAAGGGGGCTGGGTCCCAGGAAGAGGTGAGGTTCCCTCCCATGCCAATTTTAACTCCTCCATCCAATAAGTCCAGTCAACTGTTTGTGGATTTAAAAAGGAATGAAGCAGGTGAAATAAGAATTAAGACTTCGATCTGGAAGCTTTGGACTCTGGCAATGGCTTCTCTCTGATAAACCTGGGAAGCTACCAAAGCCCTCTCTGAGGCTCTCTCGCCTGTAAAGTGAGGTGATAGATCGCAAGAGACCCGGAATTCACAAACAGATTTGGGAAGGCCTACCTGGTGAAAGAGACGAGACCCCACCCCCACCACTTCCCAGAAGAAGAATGAGCAGGGTGTGAGCTCCTGGGGAGAAAATGGGAGAGCACTCCTCCCAGTCTGAGGAATGAGCTGCGTGGATAGGGGCAGAGCCCAACAGAGGGGCCGAGTCTGAGAACGGTTAATCGGGAGTTCCCCCTCATCCCACTGCAACAAGGTTCTCAGAGTCCACGATCCCTGAGCCTCCTGAAATCAAACGCAAAATTCTGTTAGTAAAGGCATTTTCCTAGAAGGAGAGTAATCACTTTCACGTCAGAATTCCTAATAGGCTCATAATAGGCTCCAAACTGTTAAGGACAAAATGTGATTTATAGGAAAAAGTTGGGGGGGGAAGAAAAGCAAGTGATTGAGAGAATCTGAGAGCTGGAAAACACTTGAAAAATCATCTAACCAGCCCCCTCTTAATTCAAGAGAGGAAAAACTGAGGCCCCGAAAGGTGCAGCAAGTACCAACACACCCAGCATGTGTCGGAACACAAGCAGGCCAGGGGCAGCTCGTTTTACTCCACAGAGAAAAGCCCTGGTCCCCTTACAGGACCTCAGCACATGGGTAGCCCCACCTGAGCCTCCTTGTGACTCCCCCCAAGGTTCTAAGTGACATCAAAAGCCTAAGACTTCTTACAATTATGAACCACCATGATTTATTAAACACTAACAAATTAATTCCACCAAGCGCTCAGCCAGGAAAAATTAACAAGCTCGGTCACATGTTTATAACTTCCTCTTCCTTGATTCTGAAGTAATAATTCTCTCTGTTGACCAAGTCCTATCTGGAGCTAAATCTACATCCCTACAGATGCATCCAGGGCCCAGCCTTCCCTGGCAGGCTACCCAACCCGAATCCCAGGACACACCTGAGCTGGTGTACAACAGAACTCACCTTCTCCCCACCCTCTAGGGCCCCACGCATCTGCTCTGCCTCTGCACACCCTCATCACCACTAGACCAAAAAGCACCCATGCCGTCTCCCTCCCTGGCGCCTACCTTTCTCCTCAAGTGACTGAATCACTCCCAAATCTCTTCGCAAAGGCACCTGTCATAATCCAAAAGGACAAGCTTAGAAGCGTCATTCACCGCTAGCTCTTAACCTTGGCTTAAAAAGAAAGTGGGGGACTATTTAAAATTCTAGAAAACTCGGGCTCTAGTCTCCATTCGCAAAGCCCTTCACAGCCCTGGGTAAGAAATACATCTCACTCTGGAAAGCCCATCCTGGGCCTCGGGGCTCATGTGACAGACAATGCTTTTGTGAGCCGTGACCCCTCCGCGGACTTTCTTGCCCGGGGCAACCGGGCTGTGCTGGAGGCAAAGCGCCCGACTCAGAGACCCTGACTGTCATTCATTCGAATGCAAGCGCCAGTCTCACCTCCTCGCAGTCTAACCCTGCAACGCCTCTGAGGATGGGAGGGGGCTTCACAATGAGAACGCTCCCAGCAATCCTCCACGTGGCGGGTGGCCCGGGACAGGTCTTGTAATCACGGGGGTCGCCACGTCCCTTCCTTACGAGCCACTCTGGGGTGTGCCGCGTAAGCCAGACTTCAGGACAGTGAGCTTGCTGAACGCCTCGACCGCCCGCTGGGAACGGGCCAACGGTCCCCAACGACTTGGCCTTCGGCTTGGACCCGGGTGGGTAGGGAAGGAGACGCTGGGGAGGGTGGGGG